GTAAAACCAAATTCACTCACTCACTCACTTGGTATTCATTCATGTGAACAAATGTGTATTAACCCGAGACACTACAGCCTCAAATAGTGTTCAGACCATTAACCATTTTCTGACTTAGCACAGTGTAGTGCAATATAAGCACAGAAAAACTATTTTTCTAGAGAAAATGAAAAAAATGATGTGAACAAAAAACGGTAACTGCTTTTACTCCTCATAACATGGATGGGTGCAAAAACATCAAAATGTTGTGGGGATAATTACCCTGAGAAGTTCGGGTCAATCAATGACAACAGAGAGGCGTTCTATGCATACGAGATAGAAATGCCTGCATCTCGGATATCGTGCACCTTTAATTGTATCGAGATGTTTTATGGGTGCCACGCCGCAGGAACTTGCATCAACGGTTGCTGCAAAACCAACTGCTCTCCACACAACATAAATCTCTCCGAGTCTCTATCGAGCTGCAATATCATTGAATTATCCTCCAGGACCGTGTGAAGTATGGGACAAGACCTGTTGGTCTACAAAGGCCGGATGGTAAGCATTCACGACATAATTTGGAAGGATCATTCGACGTTTTTTTTCCTTGGCAATGCATCTTAACCCCCGTTCTGTTCAGACCTGTGAAAAAAATACATGTAAGACAGATTTCTTTCTCACTTTAAGCCTTTGGGGGTTGTTGGTTAAAACGCCATTACTGAACTGTCTGGGTCATCTAGTTGTGGGTTCGACTCTCAGTTACGAAACTTGGTTTATAAGCACCACACCCATATCAAGTATCAGTATCAAGTGTAACTACCTACACCGAGGACCGGATTAGAATTGATCTTCAGCAACCCATGCTTGTCGTAAGGGATCGGGGTGTCAGGCTCACTGACTTGATTGATGCATCTCATTGGATCCCAGTTGTGTCGATCAATACTCACAATATCGATCACTTATTGTCATATAGCTTGACTATCGCTGAGTGCGGCTTTAACAACAACAACAAACAAACAAGCTTACGTCGGGGATCTCAAGTGTTAAAGTACTACACCTTGCTCATTATCTTACAAAGCAAGAGACAAACATGTCTCTCCATTCAGTCTTATTATGTATTTTCACCTATTTATTTGTGGCAGATCTGACTACTCAAGCCACGACAATATTCCAACATTCTGCTCTGAATATATAATGAGTCCTCCTAGTGTCGTCAACAAAACTAAACACAGTGTCAGTGTAGCTCCTATGAAGTTGCCTGGGTATAACAAACTGACTTTTGCATTTTCTAAGTATTCACATCGTCTAATTTTGTTTGAGACAATCCCAACATCAAGGATACATTTGTATAAAAACTAAGTTTAAAAACTGTTAAATATGGACGCAAGCCTATTGAAACCCCGCTGGTTTGTCGGAAGAGAGTAGTTTGCGCTGTAGGAGGCCATTATAGAAAATATAACGACTTCGTTGAGGAAATTAAAGCTCAGTTTAGTTGAATCTTAGTCCCGTGTTTAATTCCCATGCTCTTTTCAAACATCGTGCTGATGAATTTATGAAGGAGTGTTTCACGCCATGCACAGGAAGTTAATCCAGTACAGTTGGAGGTATGGACACAGAATCTTTCACCTGGTTTCTAGGCAACCATATACTCATTTCGGTACATGGTCTTTGGCAACCGTGGGGCTGTGTATGATTCAAAACGTTATGGTCGTAATAAAACAGTGATCAATACCAATCACAATTAACAAGGGACTCTAGAGGTCCGATGGACTGGAACTGAAGTGTGGATTTAATCTTCCGATAGTTGCAATGGCGTGATGGCATGTCTAACGGCAGCCATCACTAGAGCAATTCGAAATCTCGCGACATGCGAGACTTCGGTCACATGACTAACAGTCCGGGCTCGAGTACTCCGTTAGTACGATTGTCAATGTAAGCATTCGTAGATTTGTCTCCCTTTATTACGTTAGGGCCATGTTCAAATGTTGATATGCTGGGCTATACCTGATGTAACTACATCTTGCATGTAGAGTGATAGTTACTGAAGTGAATTATTTAACGTCTCAGCCATCTGAAGGAGGACGGACTGTACATAAGGAGGTATGGGTTGGACAGACAGGCTCTTTGACGTCGGGGTGGACATGCGCCTGTGGTAGTGGGTTAGATTCTTTGTTCGCCCCGATCATGCGTCTTGGTTTGTCAGGACCATACTCGTGCCCGAGGGTTTCACTTAAATGACACGCCTTCATATAAGGTGAATACTGTACACATAGTGTTCAACGAGGCGGTGGGGTAGCCTAGTGGTTAAGGCGTTCGCTCGTCATGCCGAAGACACGGGTTCAGTTCCTCACATGGACACAATATGTGAAGCCCATTTCTGGTGTCCCCCGCCATGATATTGCTTGAACACTGTGCAAAACTCAACACACTCTTTGACTGGTCTGTGTGTGGTCGTCCCCGGTAGGCATTGGACGGTGCTCGTACTTTCAACCACAGGTTTGTCTGATTCATACATCATTGTCAACAGGATACGTGTTCCAGATTGAATATTGCCGAACATCCCATTCTTCAGCTGAGACCGAAGAATGTATTACAACTGCTGAGTTTCAATCAGTATAATTCTTCTCTCTTTATCAAACACAATATTCAGATGTGTCGATTTCACATTGACGATGAATCTCCTGGTTACTTTGTCGTGTTGGGCAGTTTAATCACTAGAAACATGATTCTCTACAACCATCTCAGGGTCTTCAGTTCCACTGACAATCATTATTTTTGTAAAACTTTTGACAACTATTATAGTAGTTTCTTGATTTAAGAGCAGAATTATGTAATCATTATTGATCAACACTTTCGATGGACTTAGAAGGACTCCATCTCATAGTTTTTCAGACCGTCCTGACTCAGTTCCAAACGAGTGCCAAATGTAAAGAGTGGGTGAGAGAGTTAGGTTTAACGCCACTGCAAACTGTGATCTTGTTACATCAAGGCCTAACATCGAAGGACTGACCAAATGATCCACTTTGGTGAAACGATAGAGCACGATAATGGTGCTAAACAACTCACAGACTTGTGAAGATCCGGGTCATAACCACAGGCCCTCGTGTCTTTGCGAAGATTAAAGACTTAAAAGAAAAGTTTTGAGATGACCCCCTACTCGAAATGCTACACTGTACAATACGTTATAATGTATTGTGCTGTGAAGCATTTCGAATCGGGGGTCATCTCAAAGTTTTTTTATTTTTCTTAACATCTTTAAGCCTCGCAAAGACACGATGGCCTGTGGTCATAACTGGTCTTCAGCAACCCTTGTTTGTCGTAAGAGGCGATTAACGAGATCGGGTGGTCAGGCTCGCTGACTTGGTTGACACATGTCATCGTATCCCAATTGCGTAGATCGATGCTCATGATGTTGATCACTGGATGGTCGATTGATAGCTGGAGGGGCGAGTTCAGTGTTAAACAACCACCCAACCAACCAGATACCTGTTCTTATTAGTTGGTCGCATAGGATTTTTGGCTTTAACAGTTCGCTTTTGGAAGGGCCTGGAAACTATTCCTTTTCTCGAGTAATATTTGTGTGAGGGTATCTGAAATAAAAAGTGTGTGATCTCGGTGTGATCACGTTCTTGGTATCTGCGCATCCCACTTCGTATCTTCACTTAGCGGACACATACTGGACAAACATAGTTAGGGATATATGTACATTTTGAAATTATGAATAATGATGTATACTGAGTCAAAAAAGAAACTTCACAAAATGTAATTTGAAAAATAATGAATAATTTTTCTCTGATGATACAGCTATGTATCCGAAATGGGATCCCTATCTTTCGACTCTAGAAAAACGTTAGCAAAACCCACTCAAACCCATCCATTCGTCGTGCAAATGACGTTAGTGCCAAATCAAGTTTTGCACGTGCAGTCGATCACGTGATCTTCGCATCGAAGTTTTCTTCATATGCACGTGTTTGCATTGGCCTCAAGAATTGAAAAAACACTTTTAAACCACAGTTCTAACGGTACTTGAAATGCCACGATTGTCAAATGTGCAAACGTGAACGTGCCGTTGGCATGTTGCAAGCGGGAAGATCAGTTATTGACGTCGCAAGAGCAATGGGATGCAGCCGTCGTACTGTGTATGACTTGCGAGGTCGTCTACAACAAACTGGCACCACTTCTGATCGCCCAAGGTCGGGTCGTCCACGTGTGACGTCTCGAGCAGAAGACCGTCAAATCGTCCTACGTCACCTACGTGACAGATTTCTGCCGGCTGCACGAACCAGGGCTGAGATGTTTAGAGGTCGACTGTCCTCACAGACCATTCGAAATCGGTTGCGGGCTGCCAATCTCCATTCTCGACGTCCATATCGTGGGCCAATATTGACGCCGTTTCATCAACGTCAACGTCTGCTGTGGGCCCAACATCACCTCCGATGGACCCAGAGAGACTGGAATCTAGTCGTCTTTAGCGATGAATCCAGGTTTACCCTCAGATTCGCGGACGGCAGGCATAGAGTCTGGAGACGACGTCGTGAACGGTATGTGAAGAAAGAATGTGAAGTTTATTTTTTGACTCAGTATATTTATTCATTGACACATTGATAAAATATCAATCATAAAAATACCACTATCCCTAACTTATTTTGTCCAGTATATGTTTTGTATCCGGCGTGTATGTTTGATGCTCGAGTTGATTTATCCCGCATAAACAACACAAGTTCGTCAGCCTCCACCACTTTAATTCAGACAACATGTCTGAGGTGTATCGGACAGTCGAAGTCGAAGCTAAACACCCTTTTCACTTAAATATTCAACCTCTTATTCTGAGTGCTCAAGGTCCGTGCCTCGTCCGCAACCCCCTTGTATTGGTGGTTTGTCATTGTAGCATTTGAACAACTTACACAAGAGGACCTTTGCCAGTCTGTCGAATGTTCATTTCAAGTCGGTGCATTACTGACCAGGATTGCAGTGTCACCCTGACCTTGAATGACTGACTGACTGACTGAGTTTGGTTTTACGCCGCTTTTAGCAATATTCCAGCAGGGACACAAGAAATGGGCTTCACACATTGAACCCATGTGGGGATTCGAACCCGGGTCCTCGGCGTGACGAGCCAACGCTTTAACCACTAGGCTACCCCACCGCCCGATCTTGAATGAACCAGTGCTAATAACTGATAATAACTATACACCGCTAGGCTGTCCTGTGCAATTCCCCTGCATTACCACCATCGCCTTCCACCCGGGATGCTGGTTTCCTGGAATCTGCTATGGACCTGTGAGGATTTTGGATCAGGAAAGGCTCCCATTGCTCCATGCTAGTGGCAGGAACCGACTGGAACGTGGTTCTTGTGGACGTGGTTGACGATGTTAACCAATAGTTTGTAATCATTGGTTCTCCTATTTACAGGCCGCTATAGAGAAGCTCACGTATTGGTGACTGTGGTGTAATTCACCACAAGTCACGATCTGTGAGGTAACATGGAACATCTTCCCATTGTGATTTCTACATAGTTTCGTGGAGTCTAGTACAAATGAGTCACTGTCATTGATTGAGAATCATGACAGAATCTGGGTAATTACGCCAACACGACATGTCGTCAATGTCCCTGACATTTACTCTTGCCTGATGAAACCACCATTTACTGCTGGTCTTGCCTGATGAAACCACCATTTTATCGACTTGGCGAAATTAGATACACAAATTACACAGTGCGGACAGGGTCAAACCGGTAACATTGTGTTTTTCTCCTAATCTATCGGCGCATGGTGCCATTATTATTCATTGTGAATATAAGAGTTTATTCTTGTTGTTTACTTTCAATTTAATGTATTAAATTGTGCAGGTTCTAGATAATGTCCTAAGTATGGCTGCTGAAAGTTGTCATAACATAGCTCGCAGATAGCAGGAAAGTGTTTTAACAAGGAGAGTCACGGATGGCCCAGTGGCAATTCGCTGTGCAGAGTTGCGTCCCTTGGGGAAGCCAGAAACCTATATAGTTGTTGTTTCAAATTCTGATTCGCTGAGATTATCTTTCTGGTTTTGTCAGTACCCAGACCTGGTTGTCCTGCCACATTAAGCTGACATGCTGTGATATCAAGGGAACACTGTTCAAAGCGGGGTTAAACCAAACTCACTCAGTCACTTTAAATAGGACACGTGGAACTATGATTATATACTAAGTTATTTTAATGAAACTGAAACCTATTGTTTCGTTTGCAATAATACCAAATCAATGCTAGATATTATACTGATGTATTTCTTTTCTTTATTATATTTATTATGAATTGAAAAATCGCTGTGTTTATGTGGTTTCAAGTAAAAAGGTCAGCCCCAAACTATATTTTAGTACTCTGGTATAACATATTAACATATACAGCCTGATGTGGATAGTAACCCGTGGTCAGTTGGCTATGCAACATCACAATGTCAGTGCAGAGCTTGATTAATGTTCATTACATAAATCCGAGGAAGCAGTGAACATACAGCTAATACTGGAAAAGAAAGCTGCCAAACAATTCCTTTAGTCATGTTTCCAAACTAATGAACAATGTCGATATTTGCTGTATGGATTTTACTCGGAATCAACGGTGCTCTCTAAGTAAGGATCGAGAAAGATCACATGGTGTTTTAACGTGGTGCAAGATTAGAGTGGACCAATGTCCAGACCAGATGGTTGTTTCACCTGTCGAAGATAGTTAGGTCCAATGAAGAATTATTTGTAGGAATGATTCGTTTTGTTTTACGGGAGGCTCATGATGACGTGTTACTGCAGAGGCGTGGAGGTGTTTAACACCGAACTCAACAATATGCCAGCTGTATGAGGGTGTTCAGTAAATTGGGAAAAGGGGACGGACATTAACCAAGTGAGCGAAGCTGCCCAGCTGATCCCGTCTGTCGCCTCATCACATACAGCAAGAGTTTGTTGAAAGACCAACTCGGATCACTGGAGGTATAGAAGGAGATGTATGTGTTTATAAGTATCACTAATAATGTTTCAATAGGTGTCCCCTACAGTCACCTCCTGTATATAACAAAATGATCAATAGCGTGTCTGCGTGAGCTAGGTCATTACCAACAATGGTGAATGATGCGCGCCAAAATTGGTAAAGATGAATCTTTGCAATTTAGAAATATTTCTGTATTCCCTGGAGAATTTCATTTTCACATTCCAACTGATGACTTATTCAAGTCAAAACAAGTAAGTCACGCTACGTGTGTCGTAAAAAACACAACCTCGTCCATTCCAGTCAGTTTCTGCAGGGCACAATACCGACATCCAGATGCTTTGCGAGGAAAATGACTCAGTAATATTCGTATGAAGGATTGTCTGTCTCGTGTATAAACACTTCTCTTTTTATGTTTTGTAAGCATTGTTCACTTGGTACACATACAACTGACCAACATAGATGACCAATGAAAGAAGACGGCCGGTTGACAGTGAGTCAAGAAATGTTGGGATGAACGAAACAATGGATTGCCCTGCCCCGCCGTGCCACCGAGTCCATCATTCATGCAAAATGTAACTGTGAATGAAAAAAACAACACCCAGTGAATATATTGCCAGACGTATACTTAGCTTATGTATCTGAAGTCATGTCTCCTCAAAGTGAGACTATTGATTTACACAGTCGTCGTAAGTGTCGTCAAGTGCCGTCACCCCATATCCCGCATACAACATGTCGTCTCCGTTAATGTTTCATCTATACAACCTTATCTGCAAAGGTGCCCGGATGAATCTAAGGCAACGCAGTGAGTGTCAGTGGAAGTGAGTTCTGATCTCAGTTTTGACCAGATTTGGATCGTGTATCTGACAACGTCATATCTGTCGCGAATGTTTCACTAATATCGACTGACGTCAGCATTCTTTGAATGTCATAAAAGGTCAAGTTTCCAAAATTTACAAAATAGAGATACAGTCACAGGCGAAACTACTGTGCACACCTACCACTATTTTAGGCGATTTTGGCGGCCATTTTGTTTTTCAATTTTGAGGGTCAAAAACACATTTTTCAGCTTGGTATCCTATTTTTTCATGATCAGCACCCTGAGTTGAGGTCAGTTTCACTGTGCCTTTCCAGTTGCAAATAACTAGTACTAGGATCAAAAGATTGCTAGTTCGATTCTAAGATTCGTAATATGTTTTTTGCCTTGATCAGACTGAACAACTGATCTGACTCTACCTTCAAGATCTGAGTGAGTGAGTGAGTTATAATTTATCGGCAATATTTCAGCCATATCGTGACGAGAACATTTAATTGTTTTAATTGGGTTTTATATTTTACTAACTGTTACAGACGCCAACAAAATGCTGACTCCCTCCCGTAATGGCACCATGTAATACATAAAGAAAAACGTACACATAGCATATAGCTAAACAACGGTTATAACGAACTCAAAGGCCCCACGCATTTAGGTCGTAATATATATTAGAATTAAATATTTCAAGGAATCGAATATCATTTGATCATGTTTTTCAACCAGTCAGATTAAAAACACAGTGACTTTTGGTTTACAATATACAGAAAGTGACCAAAAATCATTCGTTATAAATATAGTTTACTTATTTAAATGATCTTTTTAACGACCGCTTCATACAGCGTCCTACAGCGATAATACAGATGAATATGACGTCAAACAAACACACACTCATGATGAAGTCACAATTGTACAATCGACTCTGCTTTTAGTAAACATCGCTTACGAAACCGGAAAGGGTTTTGTCATCTCTATTTACTCCATCAAGAAATATTAAAGATGAAATCATCACACAATGAATAAATTCAATGGTTTCGAACTGACACTTCAAAGAAATAAAAATCCTAGGACCAACGCTATGTCTCAAAGTTGGTCTGATTGGATGCGACAAGAATTACCATGTTATATTTGTTTAAATACACCATAGAACCTGTCGTCCACTGTATCCTGTCGTAGAACAAGTGGGAAATAAAAATGTAATCACGCGTTTGCCATCAGACGGAAATACAACAATGGTTATCTGCAGCAGACATCCGTTAAATGGTTATGTTCAAACTGCCAGTGTTTATTGGTTCTGGTTCCCCGGGGTGCTGTAGTCTGCAGTCATCGCCCAGCAAGAGGTCATCCCTGTTACTGATGTTGGAAAGGTTGCTGTTGGTATCGTTCCCATCGGACGTATGTAGCGTCAAATGTCTGTTTTAGGGGACACAGTTCAAAGGTAACAAATGTAAGTGTTATGAATATTCATTTCAGAAAAGATAGACTGGTCATTGGACGTGAGGACAGGTGATGAGTGAGCATCCAGTTGTTAACGAAAACGAGAGTGTATCCTGCTCCAACATTACAAACACATGCAGCGGCAAGTCAATTGTGAACCTGATAAAATACATAATGCTACAAATATTAAATGGGAAATTATATCAAACATAAGAAGGTTTGTCCCAAGGCAGCCTCTATCGACCATCGATCATAAAAAGGGAGTAGCCTCAACAGTTTTGAGGGGGGTCAAATTTTGAATTCATCAAAGCAAGATATGGCTGAAATATTGACTTTGTGTGTTTTGGCATAAAGCTAAGACTGGATATTCTCTTTCACCGCCCTTTAACTTTTATAGATTCTTGCATCTATATTCCTTCAGTGCTCTTATTTGTAGTTTTAGTTGTACCATCGAGCAATTCACTCACCGAAGAAAGGCACTATCATTTTAACAGACATCGATACTAAAACGTATATAGCTTATTGCTGCCTTCAGTAATACGTCGGCGTCTCATAAATATACTCCTTAGTATGTACTGTGCCACACGGGGTACACTTAACTCAATATAGGTCATGGTGACCGATCCAATCCCTCGCCAGACCCGTGTCTGGTACTGTGATCATCTGCTACCTGGCGAGTACATGGGTAGGGTTGCTTGTACAGAGGCAATACGGGTCTTGTGGAGGTAATGAAGAGGGACTAATTTGCTTAATGCACGCCGTTCAGTGTGCTTGTGTGTTAATGCTACAGGTCAAGTTCGCCACTTTGAAGTGAAAATAACCTGTTTCTGTTTTGATATAGATACAGTATATATTGCCATCGTACTTGAATGATTTCACATCATGAATGTCATGTAAATAGTGTACGCAAACTAGCCCTCCACGTGTCATATATACATAAGTGCACAGGCATAGGTTTGCGTTTGAACAAGCATTTTTGCAATGCGAAATAAATTTCTCATCCATTTTACGCCAGAGAATGTGTGTGTGTGTGTGTGTGAGAGAGAGAGTGAGAGTGAGAGAGAGAGAGAGAGAGAGAGAGAGAGAGAGAGGGGGGGGGGAACCTGTTACCTCAACATTTCTTGACTCCAAAATATGACATTTGTATGTCTCACTGTCAACTAGTTGAATATTTCTAAACTAGAAGCCGTCTTCTTTCATTGGTCATCTATGCTGGTCAGTTGTATGTTTACCAAGTGAACAATGCTTACAAAACATAGAAAGAGAAGTGTTTATACACGAGACAGACAATTCTTCATACGAAATATTAGATCCCGTTTACAGAGTCATTTTCCTCGCAATCTAGATGCCGGTATTGTGCCCTGGAGAAACTGACTGAAATGGACGAGGTAGTGTTTTTCACGACACGCGTAGCGTGACCTACATGTTTTGACTTGAATAAGTCATCAGTTGGAATGTGAAAATGAAATTCTCCAGGGACTACAGAAATATAATTTGCAAAGATTCATCTTTACCAATTTTGGCGCGCATCATCCACCATTGTTGGTAATGACCTAGCTCACGCAGACACGCTTTTGTTCCTTTTGTTATATCCTGGAGGTGACTGTAGGGGACACCTATTGAAACATTATTAGTAGGGGTGGGTATTGCAGAGAATTTTCGTATTGCGATATATTGCGATGCAAAAGCATATATTGCGATATGTATTGCAATATATTGCAAGGATTATTTTTTTAACAAAAACTATTTATAATCGAGTTAATGCTTGATTATAAAGCAAAAACACAACAAAATCACTATGATTGATTAACCTTTAATAAAAACTTTTAATCATGACAAAATAAAAACGTAAGTAACATTTGGCACTAATGAAACAGGGAAAAGAACAATTCAAAAAACGGAAATATCCGAAGATTTCCGAGTGTTACGAAGTTTTCCGAATGCATGTCAAAATACCGGTTTTCGATCAGCGTATCGCAATACGTATCGTTTTCATGTCTGCACCGGTAAATACCGGTAAACCGGTTATATTGCGCAGCCCTAATTATTAGTGATGCTTATAAACACCTACATCTCACGCTCACTTAATTAATGTCCGTCCCCTTTCCCAATTTACTGAACACCCTCATACAGCTGGCATATTGTTGAGTTCGGTGTTACACACCTTCACCATCACCACCACCAACAACAACAACAACGAAAACAACAGAAACAGAAACAAAGAAAACAAAACTAATACTTATTTCTGGCAATGACTGTTTCCATGGATATTTGCTGTAGTGTCAAGCCGAAGACGGCACCGTTGTCTTGGTTTAGTGCAAGGACGTTGTTGGAGATGTATGAATCTTATTCTAGCCTTTGAAAAGCCAGAGACACATGAACCCTTCTTACTGCATGCGTTTGGAAATGTATTTTCTATATGTGGTAATAGTTCGTATTGTGTCATATTTTTCCATCATTCTGAACAACATCTGTAGCCAAATAAAATGTCCGATGTTAACTATGTCCAGCGCTGTTTTTCATTTAACGTCAAATGTAATCTGCAGATAATCGAGAGTGGGTCTTCTCTAGAACTGACGTTATATAGTTAAAACTGATGTTTTCCTTCAGGCCACTGGCATACAATAATGGACAGTGCGATCAATTACTTCAGTATCTCATCTGGTGGAGTATCTGGACATGTCGTACAAACGTATTGGCCTCTGGAACGCTTGATCACAAAGATATCTGCTTGATATGCGGTGGTTGACTACAGTTGTCAGATACAACGTCCATCCACTCCATCCGGACGCCTCTGCAGTAACACGTCATCACCAGCCTCCCTTAAAGGTCACATGCAACCAAAAAATCAAACATAATTAAAACACAATTATCACTTCTTCATGACATATAATATGAATTGCTGATTATGAAAAAAACAAATAAACAAAATTATAAGCGTATAATCGCAAATCAAAAGTGCAATATTTTGTACTTGGGTTTACCTCCCTCGAAACGAAGCAGCAGGGATACCGAACCCAGTCAGAGCGGGTGGGTGTGCACTCAAGTGTAACGGCTGGTTCATTTGCAGATGCCGCCCTCATGCACGGCTCATTGTGTGTGTATATATAGAGATGTTGGGTTTTGTAAATACATGCTCATTTTTTGTGTATAACATTTTGCAATCAACAGACATCATAACATGTCATGTGTTCAAATATCACACCTGCCTGTCTGTGTAATTACATAATGTGACAGAGACCAAACTCGGGCCATAAATTAATGCATTATGTTTATATGGTGTATAGCCTGATTGGTGTTAAGTTCAAATTGCATGTGGTCAGTGATCGCAGTTGTGTATTGAATATTGTCATTAGCAGACAGGCAGGCAGACACACATAGGTGTCAATAAAACAAGACATTGAGTTTTGTCTGTGACAACGACATATCTATATCACAGTTAGAAATTCTGTCAACGCTAAATAATGACATTGCTTTTAAGTATCGAACTGAGAAAGTGTCTCGGTAAGAAGAACGTGTGGTGAAATAGACAAATGAAATTATATAAACAGTTAATTTACTGTCATAACATATAAAAAGCTCGCGCCTGTGAGATATCAACAAAACATTAGAAAAATAGCTCACACCAAAGCCCTCACCGAGTATTCACCCGACAACCCGCTTCCAAGCTGCGCGAACCTATTTACTTGCGCACGTGCTATGAGCGCAGCCCAGCTGTTGAAACCCGTTTTCCCCAGAAAAGTCTGGGGAAAATTAGTGAAACGTTTGAACTCCCATTTCGCTCGTTTTTTTTCATCGCGTTATTTTTCAACTTTATAAGTTGAATTTGCATTTTTGACGATTTGTTTCGGTAAGTTCATACCGAAAGGTATCAGAATCTGCAAAGTTGTGTTTTACGTTGCATGTGACCTTTAAGAAACAACGAATCACTCCTACAAATGACAACCATTCTTCATTGTACAAAACCGTCTTCGACAGGTGAAAGAACCACCTGGTCTGGACATGGGTCTAGTCTGTATCTTGCACCCCTGCCTTTATCCACCATGTGGTTCTTCTCGATCCTTACTTAGACAGCACAGTTGATTTTGAGCGAAATCCATACTGAAAATATCGACCCCGTTCATTAGTTTGGAAACATGACTGAAGTAGATTGATTAACAACTTCGTTATCCAATATTAGCTGTATGTTCACTGTTTCCTCGGATCAAAGCTCTGCACTGACATTGTGATGTTTCATACTAACTGACCGCACTTTACTATCAGCATCACTGTATATGATATACCAGAGTACTAAAATAAGGTTTGGGCAGTGTATGAAATAAGCCAAAAATCCAGCCAGACATCAGGGCTGGTAACTTCAAAATGTTACCAGCCCAAAATGGATTTAACCAGACCAAATATGGTGAATTTACTCAGATGTATGGAACATCTAAATTTTGTACAAGACCATCGGGCTGGCTAGCTGTAAATTTAGACCGTCCGTCAAAAATCTAGACCGTCTCGGTCGGTCGGGCCGTATTTCATACACTGGTTTGGGGCTGACGTTTTTACCTGAAATCACATCAACACAGCGATCTGTGAATACATAATTTATGTTTCAAATAAAAATGACATCAGTTAGACAGGAATCGGAGACTCATAAAGGAAATGTTTTATTGTAATGATGCATTGTCGGGCAAGATCAATGTATTGATTTGATACAATTGCAAACGAAACTGAAGGTTTCCGTTTCAGAGAAACAACTAAGTATATGAATCATATGTTTCCTGTTAAAGGGAATGAGTTGGGTTTAACCCCGCTTTGAACAGTGTTTCTTTACATCACAGCATGTCAGCTTAATGTGACAGGACAAACAGGTCTAGGAACTGACAAAACCAGAAAGATAATCCAGGCGAAACGGAATTGGAAACCACTAACGTCTTGCGTGCTCAAGGGATGCAACTCTGCACAGCAAATACCGACTGGGCTATTCGGTACCCTCCTCGTTAAAACGACTTCCTGCTACCTGCAAGCTATGTTATGACAACTTACAGCAGCCATAAGTAGGACATAATCCTGATCCTGAGAAACGCAATACATTGAATTGAAAGTCAACAAGAATAAACACTTATATTGGCTATGAATAACAATGGCAACATGCACCGATAGATTAGGAGAAAAACACAATGTTACCGGTTTGACCCTGTCCGTACTGTGTAATTTGTGTCTCTAATTTCGCCAAGTCGATAAAATGGTGGTTTCATCAGGCAAGACCAGCAGTAAATGTCAGAGACATTGACGACATGTCGTGTTGGCGTAATTACAATCAATGACAGTGACTCATTTGTACTGAACTCCACGAAACTATGTAGAAATCACAATGTGGAAATGTTTCTTGAACAGAGTTCTACTTTACCTCACAGACCGTGACGTATTTTTGTTTACAGTCATTCATAGGAGAGCTACGACGCACTGTGAATATTAGAACCATTTGTTACAAATTAGTGGTTAATATACCATGTCATTCATCCCGACCACCAGATCAACGTTTCAGTCGTCTATTGCAACTAGCATGGACTGATGGGAGCCTTTCCTTATCCATCCGATATGTCAATGTTATATGGCTGTGAAATTTATTACTAAACAATGTTGGAATGGCATTACATTGTTTCTGTTTCAGTTGCACTTCATGACATTGTGCTAGAAAATCAGCTAGTTCTCAGGAAATTATCACTGCCTGGTGTAAGCAGTGGTTAGGAAGTTGCTATACTTAAGTGCTTTGGATGTCAGGTGTGACCTGGAATCTTCTGGAACAGCATAGACGAACATTCGGGAAGGCTTTAAGACTATATAAGGCACATAAATGCCTCTATAATCTGATATTACAAGACTAGCGGATGTGTGAAGATCATCTTTCCACCTGGATATCAAGGATAGGCCTACTTTGGAAGAAATTGTCACATTATTTTACTTTACATTGCAATTGTACATTCACTGAATACACCGCCACACGTTTGTGTACTGCCATGGAAATTCCTTTTAGCAATTTTTATTGACTTTTAAACAAAGCTTGTTTTATTACATTGTTAATTTATAACAGTTATTTTTTTATTTTTGTGTGTATAGATTTCTGGGTAAAGTTACTGTTCAATTTCAAAATCTACACGCAGCGTCAACATGACATGTATTTTAAGGAAGCATTTCATTAATCAATGCATCATAATAAAGCGCTCATTAACCATTGACAACCTTTAAAAAATTGCATACTCAGTGTAATCCAAGAAGGAACATTGTCGCGTTGTTCGGTCGTGTGCACATGAAAACATTCCACTGACCTTACAGATTGACCATACAGGTGCTCCCATACCAGGATGTGGAATGGTCTTCCTGTAACCTACCATTTCCCCGTGCCGTCAGGACACTGGCCTCCAAAGAGCTGAATCACATGTGAAATGGTATTGTAATAGTTTTTTAACAGATGCCTGCCGCTGGTAACAAGATTCCTAAGGAACCTGGAAAACATATCAGTATGCCATTCTTTTAAGGTGGAAAGATAAAAAAGTCCACACATACAATAAAGCTAGGAATTTATTCCATTTGACAATTAAAACTGATAAACAATACTTTCACATTCACTCTGACCTTAGCCTGACAGCGCATGTTGTCTGCTTTATGCTCATGTTGCTATGATGTCTTAATGTGAAAGGTGTGTGATAATCTTACTGAAGTAGTCATGGACATGTGGAGTATACTCTACAGGATCATGCTAGTCTTGCTTTGGAGCAAGGTTGCAGATGTGAAAACCGAGTTTCCAGGCAATGGTCCAGTTGGGTAGGTCTAACTTAATTGACTAAAACAGGATAACAGTAAATATAACTTGACACTATTTTCCTAATAGTTCCTGTTTGGATGAAGGAATGTTTGATGAATAAAATGGTGGTGAACTTGACCCAGATCACGCAGGCCCACGGCGGCACTAAGTACACCATACCTTCTTCATTACCATTACAACATCAGTATTGCCTCCGTACAAGCAAACCTCCTCCCTGGTCTCGGCAGGTATCAGTCGATTACAGAACCAGACACGGGTCTGGCAAAGGAGTGGCTTGGTCATCCTGACCAATATACGTAAACAAGGTGATGTCTGGTATGCCCATCGTTCACTGTACAAAACCATACCAGTCATACTGTGTCTAAATGTTTATTACAATGACGTTAAACATCACATATATTCATATAATGTTATCTTTGAAACAACCCATAGTTATGAACCCTCACTTTCCTACCCTTTCCTAACTATATTTTCACACCCACTGCCATTGATTGAGTGTTGCATGATGCCTCGTACTGTTCAAAATACCATAATTTTACCTGAAAGCAAAAGCATAATATACCCAATTGATATTCTCATAGTTTTCTGTTACTGGTTGATAAACACAATTCCTCTTACATTTGACGCTTTTCAAGCGTTGGAATCGTTCCAAATTAATCTTGTCAGAGGGGTACACAAAGTACGTGATATGAAATACTACTTGTCAGACTTCCAGTTCTGTGGAAACCGCGATGGCTGAGTGGGTTAGATCGCTGACTTCGGGTGCTGGCTGATCTATTTACCAAACTGAGGCATTTTACGTTTAAACCCACTGCTTTTCTTATTCGATCAAAACATCTGAAGACACAATAGCCTGTGGAAAGACACAATACCAATCTACAGAAGCACAAAGGAAGTGATCCATCTGACACGATGTACAGGATTGCCGAGATTTATGCACTAAATGCTCTGGGAGTCTGGGAAAGATTTTTAAATGTGTCACTGAATGTAGCATTTTGTGTGTACTATAGTTCTATGCTCACAACGCCCTTCCTTAGTCAGTGACACAGTGGTATTTAACTTGTTCCTCTCTGTTCCCCTACAAATAGTTGTGTGCAGCTGACATACACAAATAAGAAAACTGACATATTCAAATGAAATTAAAACTCGTGATGAAAGATGAACACTGCCATGCTGTACCAAAGAATGTGTGATAGTGGGAGTCCCACTCTTTCTCTTTCTAATCTAATGTCCCAGGAGCCCAGGTAATGAAATCTATAAAGAATTATATTCTGAGCTTGTGATCATGGTCAATGTGCCTCTGTGCCGCTTTACCCTTTATTCTGTCATTTCAGATATTGAAGACACATATCCAAAATGGCAATATTGATCATCTTCATTAGTTTGAAAACAAGTTCTGTCTTCATTGATGCCATGTGTTTTTCTCTCTCTCTGATGTTGTGTAAAGTTGAGAGAGCAACATGATTGCAGTATGCATTACTTCATGGGATTAATCAGCAGCGATGCATCTAAGAAATGTGACTCGTGATTACTGTACAGAAGAACACTCATTTGATCAGATGGGTTCTTTATGTTTTACAGGCCATGCTGATTGTAATGATGATTTCAATGTATAAGTTGATTTACTGTAAATTACACACACCCACACACACACACATATGGGTATTCAAATAGCGCTATAGTCCATTCCATTTGCATGCTCAAAGCGCTTCTTTGTTTTTCCCTCGATCATTGGATGTCAATCTCAGCTACATATATATATATATATATATATATATATATATATATATATATATATATATATATATATATATATATATATATATATATATATATATATATATATATATATATATATATATATATATATGTGAAATATATATATATATAGCTGAGATTGACTATGCAAATGGAATGGACTATAGCGCTATATATAAATATATATATATATATATATATATATATATATGAATCTCCACTCCCCGAGGATCATACAACTCTTGCTGCCACTAGGCGCACCGAGTTAATGTGACTTTCCCATCCTTTCGAGGTACCCAGTCACAGCTGGGTGGACTGGGACACAGAGTCACAGTACTTTGTCCAAGTGTACTGCACGTTGCTGTACCCGCAACTAGGTCTTTGCACGTATTCATGTGGCCACCATCTGGTCATTTACCAGATCATTCGTCAGTTCTTTTAAGTGCACAGGAAACAAGAATATTCATGTCACCTTAATAACAGATGCCTTTTGGCAATTACAGAGGAGTCCAAGCCCTTTTGGTACCGTTAAATTACATTTTTCAAAACAACATAAAAGTTATGAGAATTTCAAAATATTTCAATACCCAAACATGAGTTCCAATGGGGAACATTCCTGGAGTTGCGCCCCCTTGCCCGCTTGGAGCGCTGCGATAGTTACGGTCCAACAGTAGCTGTCACTCTGATACTGGCCTGCCTATCGGCCAAGCCTAAACTTAAATCGACATTAAACGTACTTTTTACTCTGTGATTCTTATATTACAAATTACGGAAGCTGGAAGTTGCCCCGACTGAAGACTGTGCTCAAAGCACGAAGAACTAGCGTGTCTGGACGAAAAATTGCTAATAGAACGGTACTGCAGTTATTGTAATATTGACATTCACACGATAAATAAGCACACAACTGCTGGTTTATAGTTTCTACATATTCAGGGACCGTTCATAATTAATGGGGTGGGGGTTGGTGATGACTTTTTATGGAGAAGCATGTGAATGACCTCCCTACAATTCATGTACAAAGTATAGTGACACCCCCTTTGCATAAGTCATATTCAAAATTAATTGAACCCACCCCCACCCCATAATTTTAAGCATGATCTTTTTTATGTACAAATTTGCTGACCCCCCTCGTATATGGGTACAAAATTGATGACCCCTACCTTTCCAAAACAAAATAGGTGACCCCCTTAAAATCATCATCACCTCACACCCCATATCCCCCAAATAAATTATGAACTGTCCCTTAGGCCATTATTCAATCTCAAAAATGTTCAGTAAATTGGCATATTGCTTGCATGATATATTTCTAAGTATCGTGTGTGACCCCACCCCAATCTTTACTATTTTTAAAGGCTGTCCCTTCTCTACACAAATAACCAGTACCTAAATGACAGATCACATTTTGAAAACACAAGAATATTATTTGAAA